CACCAGACAATTGCGCGTGACGTGACATGACATGACACCAAGCTCTTACGCCGAAAAACTGTTAGTCTTCGTTAGAAAACAAATCTTATTTCTCATGAAGCAAATAGACGAGAGGTGTACTTTTGTTTCATATAAAACTTCAATAAATTCCGTCTATTTTCTTTCAAGATCTATTTTCTTTTAACAGAAATGTGACACCCTTCGTTACGATTAATCTATAAAATAGAACATTCGTTTACTTACTAGCAGAGAATGGAAAGTTACTTTTTAACAAGTTACAGTTATTCGTTATTGAGTAAAAAAGTAATCAGTTACCGTTACTAGTTACCGATTTTTATTTGATTTTTGTGATAAAACATTATAAATGACTTTTAGAAAATTCAAAATCTTATTTAGAAGTGAAATAAGGAAACAAAAGTATCTTCATCAAAATGTTCATACATGTTCTTTTAAAAATTCGAGATGTTATTTAAAAAAAGCATGCGCTCCACAATAAATATCTAAATGTAAAATAAAAAAAACAAATATTTTCGCAGAACATTATAAATAATCTCAATAAATCCTAAAAAAAGTTTCTATAAATCACATAATTTTCTGTACGTCCTGTTCAACCAATGTATATATAATTCATAATTTTTTGTATAATAAAATTGTATAAGTTATATATGTACACATTTTTATCTTATCTTATTATTCTCTTTCTATGTATTTCTCTTTCCTTCTTTTCCTCCCTCAAACTGAAATTTTAAATATAAATAGAATAAAGATAAAAGAAGATCAAAAAAATTGCATAAGGCAGAGAAACAGACAATAACTTTTTTAAATGTGAATATTAGCAAAAGTAAAAGCAATCGCAACGCCTCTTTACCAATATTTTCGCCGTCGATATATCGATCCAAAAATCGATGTAGTTTATCTCACCGTCCATTAATCAAAGATCCAACTTCCGCGCGAGTGAATCCTGCGTCGTTCTAGAAGAGCTATAGAGGAGGAACAGATACTATAATAAAAGATCGTTCTGCCAGATGGCCCGTGCCCGGTACCAAAAGAGAGACTCTTCTCCCTTTTTCTCTCACCCTCCCTCTCCTTCAATTTTTTCTTTCGAACATGCTCGTCTTCTTACTTTGACTAACTTTAGTCTTTTCCTTCAGGATGAACGATCGTAAGCTATCCTTATGCATTTATATTCCATAGAGTGGTGTAAAGCATATTCGTCCATAAGCAGTAATATGAAATCATAATGTATCTTCTTTCGTTTTCCTAAAGAACGATTTCACATTTCCATTGTATCAGGTATGTTTTACAGATTTATAAAATATAACACATTTTATAGATATAAGGAATAAGAAATAATACGCAAGTATAAATAAGTGAAAGAAATATGCACGTATGTCACATATCAACAACATATAGTAAATTTAGAGAAAATTTATTTCCTGTAAACTTTTCTCATCTTCTTCAAAAGCATGTACGTAAAAATTATTATGTTATTATATTATTTAAATAATACGTACTATAATTATAATGAGAATAAAAAGTAAATAATCGTCAAAATGATAATTATCCAGAATTAATTATTATAAAATTTGCATTATTATTCAAGAACCTTTTGACCAATAATTTTCTTTATAGTTTAATATAAATAATCAATAATATTTCTCTAATGGAAAAAATTTATCAGAGTTCGTCCGAAAAACATAAAAAAATAAATTCAGACACTATATGTATATTACTGAAATTTGATGGAAAGTATTTTATTTTATCTGCAACATTGTCCGAATTTGTACATTTCGATAATTTTCGAAGAAATGTAGTACGAATTCTTTCTGAGATTATTTAAATCGCTGTTATAACTGCCTATAAAGTTGGAAAATTAATATAATTAATATTACATTGGTTTATCCTGATAATATTTAGTAACATTTAGTAAAAAATGGATGCATTTAAAACTTTATTCATCAACACCAAATTTGTTTGTCGTTTTAAGAAAACATTTAATATTTATAACGTCTGTTAGAAAATAATGCTGAATTTATCTTTTTACAGCAATATTTAATTTTTATATTGATAATGCACGTGTCTTTTATCTTACAATAACTGCCTTTATCATATTGTCTCAGTTTCGATTAAACATTTTTAACAAATACACAGGAATGTCCAAATTGAATCGAGAATATTTCCCGACAGTGAATGTCGATTACCTTGACGTATGAATTGCACTTTCACTTTGTGACCGAACAACCCTTTCGACAAAAGAAAAGTACCGTACAAATTTACAGGTATCGCTTTTTCAAAGGTCTTTTGTAATATTTCCCCAGGGAACCCCGCTTGCTTTCTTACTATATATACGCATGATTTGGAAGCGCGTGCCTTTTTTCATTTCATAATAAACGAGAGCAAATCTATAAACGTTAATATTTTGCTACAGTCTAGATAACAGTTAACAATACTATCGTAACTTTTTATTGATTATAGTTATAGAGAAGAGAAATATAAGTCATATTCTTATATTAAAAAATTATATTCAAATCTAGAAATTAAATTCAGAACATTAATTCTTTTCAGTTCAAAAAATGTTTTTTGATCAGCTTCTAAAAACTGCGAAAGTACATTAGATACTAACAATAAACTGTAAATAAAAACAAAAAATCAGTTTTTCTCTTTCAAAACGAATATCTTCGAAACTATAATGATAAGAGGGTAGAAAAAAATGCGTGTCGTTTATTTTTGTCTGGAGAACAACTAAAAACTCATCAAAATCGGAGTGTCACACTTGAGTAGGTTTACTTGTAAGTGGAAACAAATTGAGAGATATCCTCCAAACCTATATTTCGAGGCCTATTTTCACGACTGTGACAAATCGTCTATGGCGAATTACGAATTCGTCGCGCAACGACCCTATGTCGCTCTTAATCCTCTGACTTCAAATCCCATTTGTATACTTGTGCATACTTCGATGCTTGAATGAAAAAGGCCATAGCGAATTAAAAAACCGCATACTTTTTTGAGGATGTCTAACATCTAGCTAACCGTAATTCTAAACGTAACAAAGCGTTGCTAAATGCCATCATACATTTTAGAATACGTGGATCAACGTGAGATTTAACAATTTTTTCGAGTTCCTAAAAAAAAATGACGAAATTATAAATAAACTATAGAAATAATCAGTATTTTTATTTATATATGACAAAATTAAGTTTTAAGGATAATATCCTGTAAATGAGGACTCCTCTAACAACTTGCAATCTCATAAAAATTTTTTATTATTCTCTCTCTCTATAATAAAGATTTCAATTTTAATTTACAATAATTCTTACAGTTATTGCCGTATAGATTTTTTAGTTGAAAAATATTAATTTGAAATATCTTTTTTCTTGAGAGTTTAATTTAAAATAAAAAATTAAATCAAAAATTTTAAATAAAACAATTATTAGTGTAACATTTACAGAATAATAATAAATTATTATTCTTTTTATTTTGAATAATTATTATCACTAATCATTAACACATTAGTATTATCACTAATTTAAGAAATAAAACATATATTTAATTATTAGCATTCATGATAAATATTCTCTTTAATTGCAATACTTGTAATTACTAGACAAAAATATTAAAATTTATAATTTATAAAGTTATATTTTCTATATTTTCAATCAGTTTTATTAACACTTTAAATTTAGATAATTCAAAAGAAAATATGTAGATTTTTTAATATTTTTTGTACAGCAACTGCGTAAAAGAAAAACTATTAGTTTAAAAAATCTATTTGTATAGATATCTCTCACACATATATCAATAATAAAGGATAAATAAAAATTTAACTCTGCTCGATTTAAAATTGAATCTTTTATTTAAACATGAAATTTGAGGCCTTTTAGATGTGTGTGATCAAATTTTGAATAATCACGATTTTACATATCTAATTGTAGACTTTAAATCTAAGAATTATATAAATATGTACAGAATATTTTTAATTAATAAATAAGTTTCGTATATTATATAAATAGACACAACTTTGGGGACTGATACTTTTACCAAGTTGCCAATTTTCGATTCTTGATCGAATAGTTAACATAAAAATGTATATATGTCACGAATCGAAAATTGTTCGTTTTTAGGTCATACATTTAAATAATTTACGTAAGGATTGAACAAAGTTGTGCGATTGATACTGGAATTAGTATTGTTACTAGAAAAGATATTAATGAAATTTAATTTTGGGAAGAGCGTTAGAGTTTTCGAATTTATGGAGTTTTAGGTAAAGCGGAAAGGATCAATATTCTTTAAAAATAATTAAATTTAACTCTGCTTGTTTTAAAATTTAAAACAAGATATTTAAACTAATTGAATTAATAATAATTTAAAAAAATATAAAAGCTTAGATATCAAGATAGGATCAAATTTTTATCTATCGTTTAAAGTTTGGATATAAAACTTTTAATTATTTATTTAGTTTTCATAGTCGTAAATTTAGTGAACGAATAAATAAGAACAAAAAAATTTTTTATTTTGCATCACGATAGAATTCGCATTTTTATACATACGTGATATATATATATATATATGTGTGTGTATATTTATGTATAATATGCATATAATTATGTATTTTCATAATTTATTTCACAAGTTGTCAATCTCACAGCAATATTTATCCAAAACAAATGTTCATTTATGTTTGATATACAAGCTTCTCTAGTCTAACATTTTTCATTTGCCAATTAGTGTGGAATCGAGTATATACAGTAAAACAAATTTAATATATAACTAATTAGAAATCTAATAGTAATATGTATGATTTATATATCTATTATTAGTATGACTATTATTATTATTAACTATTATTATTATTATTACATATTTATTATTATTAATATAATAAGAAATGACTGAAGAATGTTTTATTCATATTTATGGAACAATAAAATAAATTGAGTACATACCCAATTTGTGGATCTCTTAAATCTACAATAGTGTACACGAGATGAAAATTTGCTCGCTCCATAGAACCTTCAAATTCTTATTCTATTCGCATGAACCGACACCGACGACAGCAATCGGATTACACCCGTGCTCGACTTAAGCATGATGAAAATCAAAAACTTACAACAGGGTTGCACGAGCCACGCCCCGTGACTGCGAAACGAATTCTTCGTGATACAAAACGATCGAAACTGTCTTCTCGAGCGATAGAGGAATAGGACGGCGAAATGTCGCTGTATACATCCGTGACGGTACGGCGCGTATCGATTCGAGCTCCCCTTTTCCACGAGTAAATTTGACGTTGGCCAAATAAACACATTGAGGCCGGCTACGTTTGAAGTGGTTCCCGTTGACAGTGGGCGATACATGAATGTCGGCGCGATTGTTCCGCAGCGGGTTGCCGTTGTCGGCACCTTTTGGGCCCCAGGCACCGGGGGCGGGTTTTCCTTCTCCCAGGTGCCTCTTACGTGCTGCCGTTGACTTCTGGACGTTCCTTTGGTTTGTAAAAATCAAGATCATTCTGCGCACGTTTCACGAGAGCATCCGCGGCATCTCAAAGGACACTATTATCGCCATTCGTTCACTCATCCATTCGTTCACTCATCCATTCGTTCACTTTATTCATGGTAATCTTCCTCTTCACAGTCCTGAATCTCTATCACTCGCACTTGTTACTCTGATCCTGCAAAAAATAAGCAAATAATTCAATATACAAATATACTAATGCGAATAATTAGAAATCACTTTTGAAATTGTTTTTACTGTTTTAGAAAAGAATTAATTTATTCTATCAAAGAAAAAGCTCGAAAGAATGCTATATCAGAATTTCAAAAGGTAGTCTAAAGCGTTCAAGATTAAAATTTGTATACTAAAGAAGATAGTTCATTTTGGTTTAATTTTTTATTTAACAAAATTATTTTAGTTGTTTTAATTTCTTTTGTTGAAGAATGTATATATTTAAGTTATATATTAAAATGTAATATATTTATCAAAAACAATAAAGACGAATTAAATTAATTTAGTCAAAAAAACAATTCTTTCTCATTCAGTATAATCTGTAATTGCGTATTCTCATAAATTAAATTTTATGGAATGATTTTCGTTTAGTCTGTCTACTTATATACATGGTGTACATACACCGCGTGCATACTTTTAAGTCTCGAAATACAATGATAGTGAGCTTTAAGCCAATTAAGAAATTGATCAATCACAATCAAATGTGAGCAGAATATTCGACTCTACGATTGATGATCAATTTCTTAAGGCTTAATACATTTAAGGCGATGCAGTGATGCTGGATGCATATGTTATCCGTTTTACCACTACTCGAATGCGATTATTTTCAACGCGCTATTTTTCTTATTGCCTTTCTCTTTTATAGATTTAAAAATCTTCCACAATTAATGCGTAATTATGACCGCTACAATAGAAGGTACTCGATTATGAATGGTCAATTTCTTACGGCTTATGGCTTAAAACTCGAGATATATGTCTTAAGACCATAGTACACAAGTAAGAAATAAGCAGTAAGCGAATTTTTCTTCTGATTGATCAACGAAGCATTTGCAGCATTAAATGGATCCACATTCAAGTACGCTGGGTTTATTCAGAACAACTCCGAGCAACTCCCGAGAGACAAAACGAACAATACTATAGTCGAATGTGAGGAGGATAATAACTATCATTGGTCGATTTCTATGCCTACTCCTTTATTCAGTGTGGATATAGCTTTAGTCTGCAGGCCCTAAGCTGTAAAGCCATAAGAAATTGACCAATCACAGTCGATTATTTTTCTCGCATTCAACTATGATTAGTTAATTTTTTATGGCTTCGGGCCTCTTAAAACGAGGTGTGGACCATGGACCTATAATATATGGACCGAGCATCCTCACCACATGCCTATAGAATAGATAAGGAAACCGTGATGTCATGGTATAAAGTGAGACAGCTCTCCATACTAACCTACATGCTCTGCTGCCATAGGTCCATGAGCAGCGCATGTAAGTTAGTTAGGTTAGAATGGAGAGGGAAAGTTCGTGCGAATCATGCTCTCTCACTTTATATCCTGGCATCATGGTTTCCTTGTCTATGCTGGATCCATATATTATAGGTCCATGGTGTGGACCCAGATTTAAGCCCATTCTATAATAGGCAGTAGTGGATTATGGAGTAGGCGTAGAAATCAACCAATGATAGTTAATTATCCTCCTCACATTCTCGACTATGATTTGTTAATTTCTACGCCTATTCCTTAATGCACTACTGCTACTGCCCATTGTAGAATGGGCTTTAAGAATCTCATTGTAGAATCCGCTTTAAGATAGTACTTGCATAAAATGATTTTTTTGCGAATTTAAATACAAGTTGAGGCGTTTTTTCGTTATGCAACCAGAAGCAACCGCGATTAAAGCTATTTGTATCTTCTGATCCCTGAAAACAAAGATAGCCTTCTTAATCGCGGTCGCTTTTGATTGGATAACGAAAAAACGCCTTTGAAATGCTCTTTAGTCTTTATGTATCTGTATAGTTAAAAACATATTGATCGTCTAGTTTTTGAAATAAAATCGCAATTAAAATTTGCAATTTTAACATAAGATGCAAATGTGCAACTCAAGTTAACGTCAGATTTTTAATTATAGGCATCCATACCATTTTGTTATAAAAAACGAGTATGTTATAGAATAGAATATACAAATGGTGTAAAAAGTTTCAAAATTGTTGACTCTCTAGTTTAAAAAATGCAATTAAACAAAGTAACACGTACGCACTGCTCAACGCATCAATATTTTTAAGGTTATGAAGATACGGCCTCGAAGACATTTCCTCTAGCCTTTTTTCTGTGTTTGTTTGAGACATTGCCGAAATTGCTTTCAACTTTTTCCGAAGAGTTTTCTCTTTGTAATAAATTGCCCTTTATATTATATCTTAATTGAGTAGTTATTTTCACTCTTTATTGCAAATACACAACTGTCTTCTTCTTCTTCTTCATTTTAATGGCTCCCGCAGGCGAATGCCCGCGATACGGCCAGTATCTAATGTAGTGACTTGTAAACGGAAAGATGATGAAATGGCCGCGAAAATAGCGTAGTTCGCACGGACACTGGACGTCTGCGTCTAAACGTCATCAATAACGGGTGATCCAGATTCGCGGGATAAACAAAATCGAAGAGAAATACAATGCACGGTCAAAATCAACACCACTTTCAAAAAATATGTGATTGAAAGCATCCAAGCCAAAACACGTCCGCCGCGGTCGAGTGATTCTGCAGAACTATACACGACTATCACAGCATCAAAGTATTAGATTTATACTAAAATTAGAGAAATATGTAGCAGTGTAACTAAATGCAACGTTGCCACATATTTATACCTTAGTTTTGTATCATATACAAGAGCCTTAAGGTGCAGCCACAATAGAAGGAATTAGGAATAAAGAATAAGAAATCTATTCAGAAATCGGATACATTGGTATACATAGTTTTTGATAGGCTAAAATTTCTTATTCCTTCTATTGTGGCTGTACCCTTAGGGCTATGCAGAATAAAAGTAACAGGAATGATGAAAAAAGCCACAGTACATGATTTCTAATAGGTTGAAATTCTTATTCCCTGTTCACTGTTCCTTAAGCTGGAAACACAATGCGAGGGAATAGCGATAGCGATAAGTTTCAACCTATCAAAAATGTGTATTCCGGTGTATTCGATTTCTGATAAGTTGAAACTTATCGCTATTCCCTCGCATTGTGTTTCCAGCTTTATAGTATGTAGATGGCACTCGTAACCAAAAATTTTTCTCTCACTGACGAGAGTGGGGGTATCGTCAATAAGCGCGCGATGGAATTTAACTTTTAGATGGTATTAGGGAGTTTTTCCAATACTGTTTATTCCAGATACGGTGAACTTAGCAAGTCACGTTATTCTTTTCTTAATTAGGTGAAGAAAAAGATAACGTGACTTTAGCGTTTATCGTATCTGGGATAAACGGTATTGCAAAAACTCCCTATTGTCGCGCTAGTACTATCTTAAATAATATCTTAAGATGCTAATACGATCTTCTGATTGGTTCGTAACATCTTAAGACCATACTCAAGACAGTCTTATGGCGTTTTCGACCCGATCGGGTTTGCTCCAACTTGGGTTAGAAAGTATTTTGCTACTGATGGACACGCTCTATTAATAGGAGAGCATAAAACGTTATTAATCTAATCCAGATTAGAGCAAACCCAGTCGAGTCAAAAACGCCATTAAATATAAAAATCGATTATGAGCGCCGGTTATAAAACCTCCGCACAGTTGTTAGTTCAAATTATATATAATATTCTCAAAGTAATAAGATAATTTTTACACAAATAATTAGAGAGAATATACTTATTAAATAAAGTTAACTGTGATTGTTGCAGTTAATTTTATTTTATAAATACATTCCAATTATTTGTGTAAAAATTATCTTATCACCTTATAAATACATATTTTATATATATTAACAACTGTAAAGTTTCACATAAAAATTTCATTTGTACTGGATTTATTCTTGGAGTCACAAATACTATTAATTTGATTTGATTTGTGCATTTATATGCATTAATCTAATGTGTACTGTGTTAGTAGTCGTAAATCGTATGTATATGTTATAAATTGTATATAAAGTCATACTTAATCAATAAAAATAGTGATTTTGAAGTTTGGTCGTCATACCAAACTTAAGATTTATAATACTACAAATTAAAATTTTGACATATTTTGTTACTTTTATATTATTTACTTTTACTCTTTTATCTTTCTCTTAATCTCTTTTTCTCATTACTTTAAAAATTCAAGAGTTGAGCTAAAATTGTATTCCTTTTATTCAAAAAAGGATGATGAACAAAAATGAAGGAGCTTAACAAATTAGCTGGAAACATCTGAAATAATATTGAATTATTTTTTAAATAATTGGTATACACCGTAAAGAAATGTATAAGAGTATAACACATGAAAAATTAGCAACATCACTTTCAAGTAAGTAATGAAAATTCTTGCTCATATAATATTTTTAATAATTATGTGTATATCAGAAATATGAATAAATGTCATATAGTAATATAATAATATAGAGTGAATAAAAAAAGGAAAAACTTAATTTAAAATAAAATCTTAGAAACTTTATTCAGTTTTAATTACAATAAAATATAAAGCATAATATACCATTCATAAATCATTTTTATCTTATTAAGTTAATTTATACGAGGGTACCCGTTTACACTTTATTAAGTTCATTAATTTAAGTTGCAAATTATGTAAGTAGTACTGAGACATCATTGTGCAGTCTTATTAACATTTATACATAGACTATGTTCTATATTCATTTGTATGATTGTATTATTTCATTATGCGATTATCAAAAATCTATATGTAACGGAAACCATAGATTTTCAGTATTTTAGTGAATAATAGAACAGTCTAAATGTTAAACAAAAACAAATTATGCTCACCAAAAAAACTGCGAGCACCAAGTGGAACTCTTGGGATGTGTTTCCGAAGTTTTGCGATCACATTTATCTACGTCGTTACGATTTCATGTCATCACGCAATTGGCATTAAAAAAAAACATGATAAAAAAAATGATGAATCGCATGAATCGATGACAGGGTCATAAAGATGAATATGACTGCAAAATTCTTTTATGAGCAGTTTGGGTGCAATCGCCATTTTTATGATACAATTGCACATCAAATGCATTTTATCATTTTGATGTTCCATGTTTACTAAGTAGCATTAACAAAGCTGCACAATATTGTATGCCTATTTCTAACACAATCTGCGAATTTCTGTCAATACTGCAGAAAAAATTTCCTATCTTTTGGCCCACTCTGTATAGTAATTTATTTACTGAATAGAATACACACATACACTAAATGTACTTTTTAGTTTATTCTATATAAAATGTACATGTAATATGATATACACACATAAAAAAGTTATATTATAATTACTAGAAATTGCAAATAAAAAGTGTCATATTTGTGTCATATTCATATCATATTCTGATTAATACATTTAATATATATATTTACAAAAATACCTCTTTTTAAAGGCGTAATTAAATCGTATTTTAAATTTACAATTATGTGAGAAAATTCTATTAAGAAAATTTAGTCACAATGTGTATAATATAATTTGTGTAAAACATTTCTCAAAATTTTCTAATGTGTGTTGATTATATTCTAAAATTAGCAATGACTACGTTTAACAAAAAAAGCAGCTTTGCAACTTTTGGAAAATTTTTCAATATAATTGGTTTATACATTTAGATTCATAAAGGCAAAAGTCATTTGTATTAAAGAATTTCAGAACAATACTGTAAAGTTGATTTCTCTAACTAAAAAATATTGTATAACAAATAATTTTTTTTTGTTATGAACAAAAAATGTCACATAAATATAAATCATTAATTTAATTTAAAATAAAACAATTCTATTCACGTATTTGATTTAATAACTAAAATCAAATATTAAGTGTATTCTTTTCTGTAACATTACATTACTATTAAAGTTCGATGTATCATGCACAAATTGATAATAATCTTTTAGATATTGTATTTTATGAGTCTTTCTCTCTTAAACAATAATATTTTATGAAAAATATCCATGATAAAGTTTATTTTTAATGTGTGTCAAATGTGAAGTTGTATTACTCCACCACTTTAGTATGCATTTTCAAATTATGATTATTCAAAGAAACTCTATTGATAAAAGCTTTCGAGCAAATTGGACAGACATACGCGTGCTGCAAGTGATGTTTTAAATGTTCAGTGAATATCGCGCTGCTCTTGAAATACTTCTTACATATATTACATTTAAGATCATCCTCGGATACCTCTAAGTGAGTCCTCGTGTGCAAATCAACTTCCTTAACGTTATCGAACTCTTTAGAGCACACTCGACAACTGAATTTTACCGCCTGAAGAATTCCTATTTGACTCCCAGTTAAAGGATTCGGTACAGATATTATCTTCTTAATATCGCTGTTAATGTTACATGTAATATTTGTTTTCTTTCCATTAGAGCATATGTGATTCCTGTAATATTAGTAACATTATAAGAAAATGTATTAAAAAATACATACTTAATATATTAATATTTAAGAAAATAAAATCTTAAATGTGTTATTTATGTAGTACATTACTTTTTAAATTAACAACTATACATACATATACTTATGATTACTTTTGATTCTGTAATTAAATGTATTATTATCATGATATAATAGACTTTGTCTATAATTTTGTATTTGACTCTTATTTGCCTTTGTCTATCTTTGTTTCATAATTATAATACATAATAATTAATAAAATAACAGCAAAATTGTCTTAAAAGAATAATTATTCTTTTTATAGAAATACAAGTTTACCTGTAATCTTGGTCGCTTGTGAAATTAATATTGCAGTTTGTACATGAATAATCAGTTTGTTGAGGAACTATTGTTTTTATAGGAGAATTAATTTGAACAACAGTGTTCTGTAGATTCTGTACTTTAAGATGATCTTGCAAGTAATGCTGCTTAACATTATCTTTCAGATCAAATATCTTGCCACACAGATGACACTTGTATGGATGTAACGATTCGGTATTAACGTGCAATTTTTCATGCTTGTCATATATCATTTGAGAACTACATTCTGTCAGACAGATATCGCAAGTAAAATGTGTTTTGTTCATGTGCATACAAAACAATTTCAGATCAAGAAAAGACTTGGAACATTTACTACAAGAGTAGTTTTGGGATAGCGGTTTCATTGTAAAATAATATTTATCACATAGTTCACATTTAAATGCTGGCTTTGATTGATATATACATTTTTTCAGTTTGCAGCTACCCTTATTACAAGGCTTTTTATAAAATGGCAGTATTTTTCTTTCCTTTTCGCTTTTAATTATTTTTGTGTTCTTGTCATTATTAACTGTCATAGGTAGTACCTTTTTACATTTCGGAGCTGGTTTACTTCGTATTTTATCTATTTGTATTATCAAGCGATATTTCTTTACATTTGCCTGAGAATTTTGTACTATGGGAGTCAATATGGTAGAACCATTCATAGATTCAAAATTCTTTGATGTGTCTGTTTTATTTCTGCCATGCAAATCTTCAATCTACAGTATAAGAATGTACATCATTTATTAACATTTGGAAATATCCTAGTTAAATGAAGGATTACCCAGAAAAATGTTCCAATCATCATTTTTATGAAGTGATATTTTAATAGAAAAGTAGTGCTTGCAGCTTGTGGTGGCATGCATGATGGCTAAATATGTGATAAAATCTAATGATCAAAATACATACACAAAACAAAGAATTCTGGATAGAAGTTGACAATTAGTGAAAAAACGTTGTTTCTAAGTATGAAAGTATATAGGAGAAATAGTAAGATTTTTCGTCTGTGTCTATGGAATTAAACATTTAAATAAAGATAAAACACGAAAAATTAATTTTGATAAATAGAAAAGTGTAAAAGACCGAAAAATAATAAGACAAAATACATTGACTATAAAAATAATTCAGTTCCTGCTACAACACCTCCAAGTTACAAAAGTGGATAAAATTACATTTGTACCAACACGAAGTACATTCAAGCTGTAAGGTCTCTTAATTTTTTTCTTTTCGGGAGCAAATATAAAAATGAAAAATATTAATATAATGACATTAATGACACTTCATGGGTAAAAAAAGTTATGTAAATAGAAAAAGTTGTTACTGATGTTTATATCAGTATATTAATATTAGAAATTGCATGTACGTTATATATAATTTCACTATATCAAATTTTAAATAAACCAAATTTTATTTTTATTACATTTTTATGAAATAATAAGACTTCTACTTAATTAAAAATAATAAAAAACTTAACTCTTAAAAAATTGTCACTAGAAAAACTGTAATGTTTTATTTTCTGTAAAGTTTAATAAAAATGTTGAATACAACATTTTTCCAGGCAATTTTTCAAATAAAAAATAAGCTTACATTATTCTGCGTGGATGGACTTTGTGATGCCACTAAAGCATGTTCCTCTAACTTTTTCCGTTTAGCTGGTATTTTCATTGATATCATCTGTGACATATTCTTTTCTTTTTGTTCTTTCGAAGATTCTATAACATATTGTATGTGTATGTGTGTGTGTGTGTATATATATATATATATATATTAGTTTTTGAACATGGCCGGAGACACTACCGCGTCTCCTGAGATATATATATATATATATATGTGTGTATATAATTTTTATTATATCATAAAATAATTCATACATCAAATGCATCATATAATAATTATCTATAAAAACCATCCATACAATAATTAATCCAGAAAAACCTTATTTTATATGCATAAGAATAAAAGATATAATTTTAAAACGTTAAGATCTGTTCAGGTGTTTACAAAAACCTAATTATTAAATTACTATTATAGTTAATTTAATAATTTTACACTCTCTTTCATGGTATCTTATAATGATCTTAATGGTGTGATATTATTATTGTAGTTCAGACAGATTTGCATTTGAATGATAAAAAATTCAATTTAGTATATTGACAGTATAAATAAATAAATAAATGACATATGTCAATAAATGATATATGTAGTATATAAATTACACACACTTTTATAATTAACACTTATTTCTTATTTGTTATATACAAGAGTAGTTTGATATGTCTATGCAAAGTCTAATATAACACCAGTATGTATCAAGATTATTTTTAGTATTTGGCAACTCTTAGAGGATTACGCACTAAATTTCAGTGACATAGATCTATTATTCTGTTTGGCATTTATTTGAATCAATCAAGTTTTGAAGTTTGCAAAAAATGGATCAGAAAGAATTTTGTGTAGTATGATTGCAAAATGGTTCAATTTACACTACAAAGTCTAAATTTAGAAAATAAGGAAATGTAGAAGGACTTTGGCTAGGTCCACAACCTTGCTTTAAGAGGCCTTAAGTCGTAAAGCCATAAGAAATTGACTGATCACAGATTTTTCTCGCATTCAACTATGGTCAATTTCTTATGGCTTTACGGCTTAGGGCTTCTTAAAGCAAAGTTGTGGATCCAGCCTTTGTAGTGTAAATCAAATCATTTTGCCGTCATACTACACAAAATTCTTTCTGATCCATTTTTTGCAAACTTGATTGATTCAAATGAACGTCAAACACAAAATAATAGATCTATGTCATTGAAATTTAGTATGTAATCCTTCAAGAGTAGCCAAATACTAAACATAATCTCAATATGTATAATACTATATAATATGGTATTATATTTTAGACTTTGCATGGACTTATCAAACTATCCTCGTACTTCAGTAAAAAATCACAATATACATTTGCAGATATTTTATTATTAAACTGTAGCATTAATTAATAAACTAATGTAGAATAATTGACAATGCAATAAATAAAATTATAAACAGATATGATTATTTCTTATAAACAATCCATCAAACGTGCAAACAATAATACGCGTATCAATATTTTCGCATAGAAATGTAATTTGTGATAAGGCTTACAAACATCATCTTACCAAATAGAGTAGGAACAGCGTTAGATTTCAAATCTTTAGATGTAGTAAACTGGACTTTTTCAAAATGGAGCTCACAAATATGCAGAGATTCCTTATTGCTGGGTTCTAGACCACAGTTTTGAAACCATTGATTCTTCCTTCTATAATATTCAATAAAGAGATTTAAGAGACTGAGCGACTACCAATGCGGTGATCGTTTATGGTAGAATTACTCACAAATTATCCTCAGGAAAAGGAAAAAACTTGATCGGTTTCCCGTCTACCTTCGTGCTCTGAGTAGAGGGACAATTGTTGATCACGCAAGTTACCATTACAATACGACGAAAGTCTCAATCTCAACAGACACTATTATCTTATAATCGCGAGACTATCGACTACGTAAAAATAACGCCTATAACCTAAAAGTAAAATTCAAGACTCAACACTTCCTCACTGTCTCGAATCTGCTCGAATCCCAATGTAATTATTGATGCGCAAAAATCAGTAAAAATCTTACTTCCTGAATGAAGCAAAGGAAAGGAAATGCGTTCCGAACTCTATCAACTCGGACTCAAAATCAAAGATCGATAGGAGTGACCCAGAGACCTCTAGTCGAAGATGAATTTTTTATTCTCAAATTACGGCTAAAATACTGGATGGATCGCGTTTTAATTGTGATATTCGTAATTAGGAAAGGCTCCTGAAGGCTCGTACAGAGCTATTTTTTTGTAAAAAAAGGCATAATAAAAATTTATTCTGTTATCTCACTCGATGTGTACTATGGTGCAGTTGGTGTATACATGATCAGAATCAATTTGCAAATCTGACTCTGTACGAGCCTTCCCAGCAATATAACAATGAAATCCCAACAGGTTTCATAAGGAAATATTATTTCTTTGAGAAAAAAAATAAGCATAAATGACCTACATCTGCACTGATCTGCACTCATAAATGTATACCTTTATGCTGAAATTATGGCTAAAATATAACATAAATCGTGTTTTGATTATGATATTCGTAATCAGAAAAGGCTCCTGAAGGCTCGTACAGAGCTATTTTTTTGTAAAAATGGCATAACAAAAATATTTCTGGTCTCCACGGGTCACTCCTGTCGACCCTTAAAATACAATTTCACGAGCCGCTCCAACTGGTTATTTCAGCGACAAAAAGAATCAAGTGGATCGTCAATCAATTGACGAATACCAAGCGCAACCAATGTTACGCGTCCTGATTGGCGTGACCAATTTCACACTAGTCCCCTTATTGGGTTGATTCTCTTATGCACTATGCATTAAGCCAAAAACGTAAGGCCGTAAGACGTATCAGTAAGGAAATCGTAATATTGGATTTGCTACCGGCCTTACGGTCTCTACTGTGATTGGCCAAAACGCTTACTGATACATTTACGGCCTTACGTTTTTGTATGTGCCATGGGCTTTATGCGTTAAGCTGGTTCTACATTAGTGCAAATCGATCGCAAGTTCGTTGCTACAGCCAATCCCAAGCTTGCATTTTGAAATCAACGCTTCAGATTGACTGTCGCAACAAACTTGCGATCGGCTTGCAACTAATGTAGAACCGGCATTATGCAAGAGTCTGTGCTGCGGCCTTTAGCTTAAAACTGTATTGTAGAATGTAGATCCAAATTTAAGGCCTCTTAAAACGAGGTTGTGAACCCAGCCAATAACATTAGTACATTTAGAATCTTACTGTATAACTTTTTGGCTTTCTTTTACAGTACAATTTGTATATTTAAGAAATTTTCAAAAATATTGTTTGAAATGAAATGAATTATAAATTCTGAAAAATTATTAAATTTATACAAAAATTAAAAAAAATTTTATGAAAAGTTATACAAAAAGTTCTGAGAAAAATGTTTACTAAAAAAGAATGTGTATTTCATAAAAACAAAAATTCGATAAAGGTAAGAAAATTATAAAAATAAAAAAATATTTACTAAAAATGATTTAATAATGAAAAAAATTTTAGCAAATTATCTTATCTTTATATAATATGTACATATATACAAATATAAATAGAAAAGTAATATTACATCTCAATTAAAGTACCATTTTTTAATCTTTTATATTTAAAATCTGATTCTGGACGTTTATTAACCCAAGCTTTTGTATCTAATTTATTTAATATAGATTCTGGATCAATAACAGCTTCTTGAAATTTTGATGAAGTCTCGTCATCCTCTCTAATCTGTCTATTTCTTTTGAATTTTTTCTTATATTCCATACATTCTTCTTCAACTTTTGCAACAGTTAATAATTTGTTTGATGTACTTAGAAGTTTTATTCCAAAGTTCTTGTCCTTTCTCTGTTTTTGTTTATCACAATAATTAGCAATTTTATCGCTTTCCATCTTTATAGATCTATAATTGACATTTGCATTTGCACAAATTGTTAATTTATTAAAAACAGAATAATATTTGTACACATGTCTAAAATATTTATTTTATTGCTTACCGTTCCAAAATTTCATCTAGTTTTTTGGCAATAAAACTCTGAAATGTGGCAGTAACACCAAAATTTGTAAAGTTATCTTCTTGTTTTGAGTTTAGTCTCAAAGAATAACTTTTATCCAGTTTGCTAGTTTTTGGTTCTTTTAAAATTAAACAATAATTAGTACATTATAATAGATTTCTATGAGATTACATAAATACACTTAGTTATTTTAAATATTGAAGATAAAAGGAAAAGATATTAATACTTACCGGACTGAGAAACAGCTTTGACTTTTTCTACGCTATATAGATTATTGTTTAAAAATTGCTGATCAATCGCTTCCTTCAAATTATTTGTAAAATTTTCATCTTCTGAACTTGACGAGTCTACTTGTTTGCTTATTTTCTTCATCATTGACTTTAATCTATATCTATAAATCTATAACTTGTATTTAGAATATCTATAAATAACAAATAAGGCTCAATGATATATGCAAAATGATAGGAGCAAGTACTAAAAGTCTTCTTGCAGTTTGCAGATATTAACACAATTTTATTGCAAAAATTAAGTAGAATCTATCATTTTATAATTATAAATGTGGTAATTATCCAAAAGACGTTTTTCACCTTCAATTTAAATTATGCTCATTTGATGCGTTTTTGTATGAAACGAAAAAATCTAGCAATAAAATATTATGTCTCTCAATCCCACAAAGCAAGATATTATAATTATTAAAGTTGTGTAAGCTGGGCCGAGAAAAAATGTCGGACGCTCGACGCGATGTCGGGACTCGAACCGAGGACCTCGTATGTAGTTCGAAACACAAAGCCACCGCCTTGCCGCGGAGCCACACAGCCCGACACGTAGATCTTAATTAATATCTTACAGTTGTTTTTTTTATCGGAAAACAGCTTTCGGTTGAAGATCAATTTTTTGTGTTAAAGTTAAAACTTATTAGGTTAGAAAATCTGTCACATCGATGACGGAGTTAGGCCGATATTTCATGTGTCGTACGACAAGGCTTTTCAAGCCTGTTTATTGGCTGTAAAACAGAGAGATTCTCGGATCTCTCTGTTCTATAACCAATCAACGTGCTTGAAAAGCCTTATCGTACGACACATGAAATATCGGCCTTACACATCGTCAGGCTGGAGTCACATGGAGCGGAAATTACAGCGGAACGGAACAATGAAACCAATCAGAACTCTACAGTCATTCCGCTGCTTTACTTTCTGCGATTGTGATTGGTCTCGCTGTTCCGTTCCGCTGTAGATTTCCGCTCAATGTGACTCCAGCCTTCGGCCGATATTTCATGGGTCGTTATACGACAAGACTTTTCAAGTTTGTTGATTGGCTGTAGAACAGAGAAATCCGAGAATCGCTTTGTCTTGCAGCCAATCAACAGGCTTGAAAAGCCTTGGCATATGACACATGAAATAAGTTTTATATATATATGGAGTGATCATGATTCAAAATTTCAATCAAATTCCTCTTGAATTTTTTAAATGGAACTTTTTTCAACTTTCATTACATATTTTTGTAACTTACTTTCAGAGCTTTTCAAAATATTAAAATAAAATTCTTTTTTATTGAGTATTTTTTGTTAAAGGCTTGAAAGTTATAAATGATCCTTTATTTAAAAAAATATTTTTTTCAATTTCCATTGCAAGTTGTAGCTTGCATGAAATAGATACATATTTATCTTACAACTTTTTAATTTCTTTAAACTGTTGGAAATTTCCCAAAAATTGTAGGCATTGTTGCATTGTATTCATCTTGTATATGTATATATACTTACTGTAAAAATATAATTTTACAATTATATATGCATATGTATACATAGGCATGAAAAAGACATAAAAAATACGTTTAGTATTTATTTTCGACATTATACAGATGGCCGAAAGTATATAATTACTCTATATTAAATAAAAGTTAATATTTACATTTTAATATGATGCAGAGTAATCCGAAGTCTGTGTTCAAACTATGAGCGAACTTTTTACCGTGCAGGGACGATTACATTATTAGTATAACGGCAATTGTCTCTCCTTACAATTATTTCCTTAATAGCTAATGTAGAATATATACATACAATTGTCTTATATTAGTTAGTATATTACACTTCGCACATAATATACACATCTGATAGTTATGTACTAAACTGTTTATCAATATAATTGTACGTACCATAGAGATCTAAGAGTATGCCAATACGCGAACATATAACTTCAATATTTCTTGTAAAAGAATGTTGGGATTTCAAAAAACAAAGCAACATAATTATATTGAGAAAAAATAAAAGACAGATATGATCTTCTACGTAAATCTCACTAATACCAAATTTGACTAAGATCTTGGAAAAAACCATGATCCCAACATCCAAATGCTACTCGTTAAATTTCTATAGAACCGGTGAACGGTTACGTCACGAAACAATTGGTCGTTATTTTAGTTCACATATTTCGAAGATAGATTTATGATGAAGAGAGAGCGGCAACGCCGGGTAATACTTTACCCTCCAAAAGTTCCAAGCTTGCACCACCACCGGTACTCACGTGACTCACTTTATCCTCCGTTTTCCACTTAGCTGCACACGTTGCCGTGTCACCTCCACCGATAATAGTAATCGTTCCCCGAATTGTGGCTTCAACAACATTGTCCATCAAACTTTTTGTACCTCTACTGAAGTTTTCAAATTCGAATACTCCCGCTGGGCCATTCCATACTATAACTTTTGCTCTCTTAATTGGTTCTGTATCAAGAAAATACAATTAGCAATGCTTCTAATGTCAAACACTTAACACATTATTATATATGATAGCTGTTAAAAGTTTCCAGCCAAAAACATATACTTTTATGATAATTTTTCAATAGATTATCATAAGTAGTAAAGGAAATGTACTTACCTGCAAACAAATCTCTTGATTTTGGGCCTACATCAAGACCCATCCATCCATCAGGTATACCATTCTCAACATCCGCAGCTCCTACTGCTGCATTCTCTGCAAATTTATCGGCAGTCACAAAATCCACCGGCAAGTGAATTTGGACGCTATTTTTTTTTGCTTTATCCAATAAGTCGTTCACAATTTTTGCTCCTTCTTCGTCAAACAATGAGTTCCCAATCTAGAATTATGTAAATGTAAAGAAAAGATTAATATTTAATTGCAAATATCTCTCAGTATCATTTGCAATTCGTACCAACTATTACATACCTTCATACCTTTGGACACTTTTAAGAATGTATATGCCATACCACCTCCAATAATCATTTCATTCACTTTGTCTAGAAGATTATTAATTAATTGAATTTTGTCAGCAATCTTAGCCCCTCCAAGTATAGCTAAAAACGGTCTTTCTGGATTGTCTAGAGCTTTCGCAAAGTATGCAAGTTCCTTTTTCAACAAAAAACCACTTGCTCTTATGTCAAATCCATCTCCCATCATAGAACTATGAGCACGATGAGCAGTTCCAAAGGCATCATTTATATATACATCTCCTAGCTTTCTCAGAGATGCTCTAAATTCAGCAACTTTATCCTTGTCAGCTTTAATCTAAAATAAATTAATATATCAGTCTTATTAAGAGAATATCACATTTTTACATATTTCAAGATAGTTTACATTGAGTTAAAATACATATGATTTTTCGTCCTTTATTACACACAATGGATCTTTCACATTCAAAATTAATTTTCATCACTTTTACAAGAAAAAATTATAAAGTAATTCTTACACATACTTAAACATCTTAAAAAAATATTTGTAAAATTGTGTATTAAAAAAAAAAGAAAAAAGAAAGACCTTTATTTAACTAGATGCTCTTAATATTTCAAAGAAATATACATGAATAATAACTCAATCCTATGTATTAAAGATTAAATTAATATCTGCAATCATCAGGACAAAATTTCTTATTTTTGTTCAATTTCACTTGTGTAAAAAAGACCTAGATTGTTTAGGATTAAAGTAATAAAGTACTTAAATAATGAAAATGATCTTTCGTACCTTATTTCCATCAGGACCTACACCTTTCCCCTCCTCCTCAACGTGAAATCTCAGATTTTCCAATAAAATAATAGTACCAGGTGCTGGATTGGCGCAAGCAGCTTCTACTTCTGATCCAACACAGTCATTCAAAAACAGGATCTCCCTTCCTAACAGAGTTTTCAGTTCCTCGGCCACAGGTTTCAATGTATATTTCTCGTCCCTCTTACCATCCGGTCGGCCCAGATGGGACATTAGCACGATTGACTTAGCCTTCTTATCAATGGCATATTTCACTGTGTCCAGCGCAGCAACGATTCTCTGATTGTTTGTTATCTTACCCTCTTTCAATGGCACATTGAAGTCAACCCTGGAAAATCATTTTATTCTATTAAATTTCAATTATATTTATGTACCTTGCTTAATTCTTTACTACCTCCTTTACTTAAAACGATTTTTTTTTAGGTTTGTGCTTTATGCACTATTATATACTTTTTATACTCAAATGAAATACATAGCACAAAACCTTGTAGTAACTACAACATTAACTATGGCTGCATTCAGCAGAAAAAGTAGTTTTGCTATTGTTGGAAAATACTTTAATATAATTTATCTTGCCTTTATATAGTTCATTGGATTTAAATGGATAAACTAATCATATTAAAGAATCTTATAGCAGTTATACAGCTACTTTTTCTGCTGAACATTATCAAGGTTAGTGCAATATTGCTGGAACGTTGCAATGTTCCTACAATATTGCTGAAATGTTGCAATAACGTTGCAACATTACTAGAATGATTTGTGCTGTATACAGCTGTATGAAATCAGTACAAATTTGAAATTTAGCAAAAACGATAAGGAAAGTTCTCTAGTGTAATCTAGTATAGCAAAACAACAATATAAAAGAGACCTTTCAGAGAATTTATACATACCGTATAAGCACCCTCTTGTCCGACAACTCCACCTTATCGATGCTGAGCTTGTTGAGTGCCATTGCGATGGTGTTTTTTCTTATTACTCCGTTTAACGCGATATCCCTGGAGAAGAGGTGTGTACCGCCAGATGTAGCAAGCCTTGCTAACCCTTTACCAACGAGACACGTAACGTCATAAAACCAATCACTGCTCTCTCTCGACGAGTCCAAGCCGCGATAAGTCGGCGTCTCAAAGTCAAAGCAAGGTCGTCGAGCGTGGCGACCTCCTGTAATTCTTTGTAACGCTCGTTGTGTTCGACCAAATTGAATGGGAAGCATTACCTTGATCATAAGGAACCACATCTATAATTATCGTAACTGATCGTAACTCTAATCTCTTATGAACTGATCTATAGTTTTGTACAATTTTTACATATTAAATATGCTATACCTTCGCGGAGTTTCCTTTCCGGAAAAAACATCCTCGCGCGAAAATCTATTATAGAAACAAATTCTTACACGATATAGTTTTGTAAATTACTAAACGGCCGGCTTTAGCTATTATAAATTATAATAAATAATTTATAATGAATTTTTCATTCAAGATTTTCTGAGATGCTGCAAAAATTTACATAGATAGATTCAAATAATTGCGAAAACAGTCAAGTCATAAGTATAAGAGAGACATACGGAAAAATGAACCAATCGTGTGCAGAATAAAGGAATTTCGTATTTTAGTCCGAAAAATCAGCTTCAACATTGTAATCAATTTAAAAATGATGTAATACCTGAATTGTTTGGCTAGATAAGATAATTGATTTGTTATTCATACGTGAAGATAAAAAGAATTAGATTTTGAATATGTGCATCATGACAATCATATAATTCAAAATTTTCTTTTGAGCAGTTTTCATCGATTCGACGAATTCGTGATTAACTTATCAATATTTACATTATTTTATTGTATATGATACTATTTTAAAATATTATATATATGTTATTTTATTAATACGTATTTGTCCATCTTGTAACCAATTATCATCAATTTATAGCGTTTTCTCTTGGCTGCACCAGTGCAACACTCAGCTGAACTTTTGCACTAGTTCATCTTTCTTCCTTTTCTCTCTAGGAGAAGGGAAAAGGAAAAAAGATGAACTGGTGCAATCACCCTACACTGGTACAGCCAAGAGAAAACGCTATTATTCTCCAATGAAATTTTACTATCTATACTCTCATGAGAATTGGCCTTTGTCGCACCTGCCACGAATGGCGCGAATATGGCGCCAACTTTTAAGGTTATGTTTGGTTATGTTCAAGTTATACTGAGCTGTATGTATGTTCGCTAATAATTAAGTAGAAAGTAATCATTAACAGTGACTGACACAAACGTAAAAGAAAATGAGTTCGATGACATATTGACATGATTAGTATCGTAAGCTAAAAATATTCCAGAAATAGGAGACAGGATGGAATCCAGTGATACATACCAAGACGACGGTGATGACGGTATTATTATTGCTCAAAAAGATTGCTATTGTTTGTCGTATAGATATATTTACATTATGCTATATAAATATATATGAAGTTTTATTCTTACAACAATTATTTTAAAATTAAACCATTGGGTTCTGTTATCTTTTTAGAATTTCAAGTATTTTTGTCATGGAGTAGTAGATTTGTGTAACATTTTTAATATAATGTATATGTTATTTATTTTTATTGTTAATTTATAGATGATTTATGAATTAAATTACAAAAATTAAAATTTATTTAATTGTCCCGATGCCAAAGTATTTATAAAATATTAATCTTCTATTTAATTTAGCTCCTCTATTCAATCAGAACTTTCTGGAGCTAACATATGGGTCTATTAGATTCATGCAATGATTATTTGGATAACAAATTAGGTGCTTTTCAATAAGAGGTTCAACAATACAATGATTGTTTCATCGCGATTTAATATTACCAACATTAGCATCTTAATTCTTGTATCTATTATTGTAGTAATTGCCATTTCATATAAAAATGTCAAACAGTTCAATTTTTTTATATTGCATCTGTAAATTTGAATTATTTATATTCAGATAAATTTAGTATTCATTCCTTTTTACACGAGTTATATCATTATAATTATTTTAAATTTATTTTTAATTTATACAAATTAAATAGCTCTTACGGATCTAGTATTAGTAACTTTGTTATAGATTTTGATATTTATCAGATCTGGAAGATTGACATTCTTATAAAAATTGTTTTTATAGAAATAAATATTTTAATATTTTTTATGAAATAAAAGTATACAAATTTAATAATGATATACCATTATTCTAGCAAATAGCTATGCAAGTCTTATATCATCAATTCCGATAGTGAATAAGTTGTTCAATGTATATTACAAAGTTGGAAAAGGTGCATTTAGCTCTGTCTTTCTGGCTACTCTAAAGTCTTCCGACAGAAGTAAGAAATTTGCATTGAAACAATTAATTCCTACTTGTCATCCAGATAGGATCAAACGCGAATTGCAGTATTTGCAACAAATAGGGTACATTGGATAAATTTTAGTCCAAAACAATATACCATTGTTTCATATAAATATCAGTTAACATTAATGAGAATGTATTGAATATTTTAGAGGGAAAGATTACATCGTTGGATTAGAATTGTGTTTGAGACATCATAGTTCAGTAGTATTTGTAATGCCATATATGAGGCACGATAAGTTCGCGGTAAGTTTGCAATTTACACATTTAAGTCTGTATTTCATAAGATTCAAAATACTCATAATAATAATTATAACAAGGAATATGTCCAAGATATGACTGTTGATGAAACGAAGGATTACATGAGAGCACTATTAACTGCTCTAAGAAGAGTTCACAAATTTCATATCATACACAGGGATGTGAAGCCCAGTAATTTTCTCTATGATCGTAAAAATAGAAGGTAAACTTGTGCAAAAGGAAAACATTCTCGAAAATGATTGAGAAAAATAATCTAATGCAATTTTTTATTTAGATATTTATTAGTGGACTTTGGTCTTGCGCAAGAATATTACATAGAGAAAAATCTTGAGAAAAACATGAGAAAAACAAGTGGAGAAAGCATTGAAGCACACGGAACAAAGCGGAAGAGATCTAATGAAGTGGAGTAACATTTTATGATCACGTATTGCAATGATTTATGTACATGTTTCTTTTATCTTTCGTTATAATCTGTTTTAGAATAATATAAGTCAACATAATATTACTTCTAAGAGAAACGTAAATAACAAATGCAACTGTTTTGGAAAACCTAAAGTGTGTGTAATATGTTTAAAAGAACCGCAACAGCAAGCCCCTCGTGCGGGCACGCCTGGGTTTCGTGCTCCAGAGGTTTTATTAAAACATGTTATGCAAACATCAGGTATTAATATTGAAACAATGCAAAAAACCATACATTTATAGAAACTAAAAGAAAAATATAAAATTTCAGCGATTGATATCTGGAGTTGTGGTGTAATAATGCTATGCATACTTAGTGGTTCACAACCGTTTTTTCGTTCGTCTGATGACTGTACAGCTTTAGCAGAAATTACAACGATATTTGGTTCTAAAGAAATACAAAAGTGTGCACAAAAATTAGGTATTTTAACAAATACTGTGATTATGGCAAATGATTTATTTATTCAAGTTCTTTTTGTTTTTCGTTTCATTACTTTCTATTAATTTTTTATATTAATTTGTATATTATATTATTTATTTTCTTTTTATTTAATTCAGGCAAAAAGATTGTCTTTAATGAAAATTTACCAGGCATGGACATTAAATCTTTGTGCATAAAGTTAAAACAGAGAAACAAAAGTATGATGTATGATATACAGAATAGTGTATACAAGGTATATCTCGTTTATATTTTAAATAATCTTTTTTATTTAATAAAGTACAATAGGAGAAAAAATAGATATAATCATTGACTGAATCTCCGAGTTTCATGTGTTAAAAAATATTAAAATCATTGTGAGTATAAAATATTCGTGAATAATATTAGATTGAATTGCTTTTAACGCGAAAATAAAACTTTATACCTCATTTTTCTCCCTTTTACTTCAGATGTGTATAATATCTTTTATTTTACATCTGAAAATATTATTAAACTTTAAGGTACCGCAAGATATCGAATATCCAAAGGAAGCGTATCATCTTTTGATGAAACTTTTAGATTTAGATTTCAGAACACGTATTACAGCAGAGCAAGCATTGGCTCATCCTTTTTTGAGTTTATAATATTGATTCATGTTTCAAATATTAATGCATGCGTTTTTAAATATTTGTAAGAAACATTTTTTTAAGTGTTATAATTTTGTTAAAATTACAGTTTTAGTTTATTACATTTGTTATTGTAAATTGTAACTTCCTGTTGAAATATATAAATTTTCGGACTAAGTAAAATTATTGAAAATTAAGAATTTTCTTACATTGTCCAAAAAAAATTATTTTTCTTTTGAATATATAATTTTTTGAGATTTAATATAATGAATATTAAAATTAGGAAAATTTGATCTCTTGATATATGATCATTTCTTTTTGGTATTTTGTAAACATTTTACATTATTAATCAAATAAATTAATTATTTAAAATTTATTTTTGGAAGAATTTCTAATATATTTATTTTATCTAATATATTATTTCTAATATATTTCTTATATATTTAATTTTTATAAAAAAAACTTGTAAAATAAATGTATATATTGTTAAATGGACGACTTTTTTGTATAACATATAATAATTATATACGATATTATCTATAAATATGTAATATTGTATTTAAATATATTTTTTTTACGTAAGTAGATGTGATAATGATTATCTATCCTAATTATGACTTCATGATGCTAAATATGTAGGTATATTTATAGTTAATTTTTATTAAAACTATTACAATATCTCTCTGTGTATTTATTATTTCACACAATATAAATATTGCACTTTGGCAAATTTATGTAACAAATAAGTTGCATGGAAATCGTATATTTAAAAATAAATAAATATGAATATAATTGCATGAGTATGTTTAAAACGACAAAATTTGAAAAATTTAATCA